AGCCCTTTCAAAACATGCTACATCAGTATGAATGTATTTTCTTGTCAGATTTCTGTACAAATTATTAAGAGTGCCAATTTAAAAGTTTTGAAAATACATATAAATTTCCGGCACACTGAGGGCATTGGGGGACCACTTAGTACTTCAGTAACGGGTGTTCAATAATAAATGAGAATGATTTCAGTGCCGTCCAGCGCTCTTGTGAGAGCATCGCGACTAAGTTGCGTCGTACGGCTGACCAGGGCCCCTTCTCCAATATTCATTGACGTTTTTTGAAGTATAAATATTATTTTAAATAAAAAATACTGAATTCGTTGACATTTTTTTTACTAGCTATATGACTGAAAAAATTCTCATTTTTTATTGAACACCCGTTAGAATGAGAAGGTAATACAGCTTTCACTCTTACTTTAAATTATTAGGTTTACTGTGATGACAGTTTTGTTGTGAAAACAATGACATTGTATTTTGGCAGAAAGAGCATTTTATCCAAGTGGTAGGTCACTCCTAGAAACACTGGAATAAGAGACCAGCGAAGAAAAAAAAATGGCATGAATTTGGCAACAAGATAAACATCAAAGAAATCCTGGCATCTCTTGCATTTGTAACTGCTTGCGAGTGACTTCGCCAATGCACCGACGAGCGAGTTCATGAGTGATTGTTAAACGATTTTAATACTCCTCCCTAATTAAAGCAAACCATTTGTAAACATTGCAGATTGGAACCGCTTTTGACAGTTCGATTGGAATCATAACAGTGTCTCCGCTGGTCTCTTATTCCAGTGTTTCTAGTCACTCCGTACACCAGTCTTGGGTCATCTTTTTTGTCAGTGTACCTCTAGTGTGCCGATTGTACCGGTCATAGAGCAAGCTGCGATTGTTTGTAAAATCAGGCAAAACATTTGATAACGGCACAAAAGCATTTGTAAACAAACTTTCTAAGGCCCTTTACACGTGAACCAAAGTACGCCCACGCAAACCAATACCACTTTCGGAAAGGTGATAGTTGCCCCTATCCGATGATGTTGTTTGTTTGCGTGGGTACTTTGGTACTTTGGTTCGCGTGTAAAGGGCATTAGAAAGTTTGTTTACAAATGCTTTTGTGCCGTTATCAAATGTGATGCCTGAAATAGCCATCCCGGTATTTCTGACACCTTGAATGTTTTGGTTTAAAATCGCAAGGATTAATCGGTGCGAAATTGTGGTGTTTTGTGTTCATAGGACAATAAAAGTTCTGTGTTTTAGGGTTTTATAATGCCCTCAAAGGCAAACCAGAAACCTAGCCTTTCGTGATGTGAAAAGCAACGAGCTATCAGCGACCGGAAAGAGTTGGAACCGGTGGGGAACATTGTTGGAGACCGACTATAGAAGATGATGAATAGACTTCTGTAGTTTATTTTGTGTGAGTTGCAGCATTATTTGAATTAAGGGTATTAAAGGGTTCTAATTTATTGCCTCTTTCTCTTGAGCCTACTCTAGAAACTACATTTCGTATTTAGATCTATAAGTGAACTGCTGATCTGAGTTCCTCAGGCAGTCAAACAACACGTAATGTTGTGAACAACTTCAATGACAGTTGTCCAGCAGTGCTCCCATTTTAATTACAACAATCCAATGCCTACGAGATTGTGCCCAAGCTGTGCCAAATCTAATTTCGGCACAATGTGCTGAGTGACTTACATTCAAGAGACCAGCAAATTATCCATGGTTGAAGACTGCATAAGTTGAACAACGGTTAATTCTACCATGGAGATGATTGTACGTATACTCAGAATTGACAGCAGTAGAACGAATCAGGCGAGAAACTGAAAGAATATGAAAAACGTACGCACCGAGTGCAAAGTCGAAAATTACAGATTAAGAACTGAAAACTCAACGAGAAATCCTTCTTGGCTTAGATTCTCCCCATTTGGATTAATTTTATCTGGTAAAACATAGCCAAAATAGCTTACCTGTTACTCGGTATGCTCAGCTGTCAATTTTCACATCGATTCTGTGAGCAACAAAACACGTAACCATCGTCGCCGAATCAAATTGATTACTTCACTTTTTAGGTTTTTTGTATGCACCTTACAGCTAATTTTAATTCACTTGAAGCTTGAACGAAATGATTAGTTTTGAATCAAGTCGATGATAAACGACGACATGAGTTTTGTTATAACTTACGCCATTATCACCCAGGTAAAATTCAGAAGTTATTTAAATCATAGAATCAAGATTATTTTCCTGGTAGATTTTCCAAATTTCCGACTTTTTCCCGTTTTTCCAGGTTTCCTTGTTCACTTGCCACCATGTAATTGAACCTCGCACCAGCGTCTCCATCATTATCATCAACATCAATGTGGAATTCTATAAAATAACCTCCAAAGATTCTTTGGAACGGCACGACATAATTGTCTTTTACTCTGTTTTGGAATTCCTCCAATTATATTCGGATATCGTATGGATCCCAAACCAGGATTCTAGAATTTTCAACTAAAAATTCTCAGAATTTCCGTCCGAGAATTTATGAATTGGAAGCCAGGGCAGCTCTGCATTTTGCTCTGGGTTTATCTGAATCTCATGCCAGAATTCTGCGAATTCCAAACCAGCTATCGTTTGATTTCTATTCCAGGATTCTCAAGGAAAACTTGAATCCTTCCCAAAAATTTTGAAATCCCAAGGAGAAATTAACTGAGATTTATTCTCTGATTCTCTGGATTCTTCAAAATTTTCATCATTCCATGGTAGAATTTTTTGAATTCCAAGTCGAATTATTTCGATTCTACGGGGAAATGTTCTGAATCAAATTCTGAGATTATCTGAATCTCGAGCCATGATTCCCAAATACAGTGAACTTTCGCTCGTTGAACTAAACCTGTAGCCCACTTAGTGAAAGACTTTCGTTAGTTGGGCTGAGCTGCCAAGCTGAAAATTGGTTGAGGGATACACCGATTGTTTATCATCATCACAATCCTATCCAACTATCCAAATCGTTCGTACATGAGCCCCTCGAAAAAGAAATAGCACTGTAAAAAATTACGTTTGACTTCGATTTAGATGGACTACAGCCCAACTAAAAATATGAAAATAGCATAACTGGCAATCTAAATATGTTATTAGTGAGGCTGACATAAGAGGTAAAATACCAAAAATAATACCTCAAAAATGTTCTTCGAATAACGAACTAATAAATAATTTAGTTATTACAATAACAAACGGATAACAGACGCTGTTTTAGATGCCATAATACCAAAATTTGTTATTTTTAAGGTCTTCTAATACCAATTCAATAACTCTTTTAGGTGTTATTGTCAATAAACTGAAAGATCACATTTTGTTATTTTGGTATTCATTTGATATTAAACAAAAAATTACGATAACTAAATAATATCAAAACAAGGTTTTATACCACAAGCAGAAATCTGGTATCATACCACATTAAGATATTCATTTGTTATCGATTAGCTATCGGTTCCTGCACCTAAACATAGCCCAACGAGCGAAATTTGACTGGAACAGGTTTTATGAGGGATCTGTGGTGGACCATGATTTTGACTTGCGGAATGCGTTGAAACCTCGATAAAACTTGCAATGTTACTTGGGTGCTCTGAATCTCGAGCTTAAAGCCTCGCTTGAAGCCTCTGATTTCTAAAGCAGGATGCTATGAATCTCAGCCCGACCAGAAACGAATATCTGGATACCTTAAATTGGTATGGATTTAGTGAAATACGACATAAAATACCAAACAAATTCACCCCCTGACGAGAATACGTAAAGAAGTGCCGCAGTCGTCTTTTCTTATAATTGAGAATTATAAAAAACTTTTGATAGTTTTTAATTTCAAAGGACCATTCACTGAAAGACACACAGATAGATATAAATTAAAGGTTTCCGTTCATAATACAGTCAACTCTCCCTAATTCGATATTGAAGAAGATATATCAATCTAATCAGGTAAATTTTGAATATAATAAATTGCTTTAAGAAGCCTGGATTTCCATCGAGTAAAGGAGATATCGGGTAAGAGAAAGTTAACCCTATGTCCATCTGAAACGTTTGGAAAATTATCAATGTTTTTCACCTGTGACGGAGATCTGGATCTAAAATATAACTTTTTGACAAAACCAGTTTGATGTTACTCTTAATGAAAAGGACTTTTTAACAGTTTTATGATCACTGCCAAAGATAAGTTGTACCAACGTTACAAGCTATGTAAAACTGCAAGAAGTTGTTCAAATGAAACCCTATAATGTTTAACTATTCTTTCGATATCTAGCATCCATGGAATGTTTAAGCTCTGCAAACCAATGACAGCTGGCTTGAATGCATGGTTGATCGAAATTACGACTCCATATCTATACCAAATCGCATGACATCATCAGCTCTGCAGTAAGCTCGAAACCTTCCACAATGCAGACAAAAACGTGATAACGTTTTTATCGTCTGTTAAGTCAGTATTTCCGCACCAAACCAGTTAAGTTTGGCTAAACAGCAATACGAATCATATGGCAATGCGCTTTTCTAACCGTATGGCACGTTTGATCTACTTTTTTTTGTTGATTAACCAAGATATATTAATTGAATATGTGTTTTTGTTTTTGGCACTGTGATTGACCGATATCGTTGACTTAATTCGTCAAATTTACACCACACTCCAAAGTGACGACCAACCAGCGGAAAACGCGATCCACCTTCACATTTCACGGAATATGATTAACACCAAAACCAGAGTTACAAGTCTATGACTACGGGATTACAAATTAGTAGGTGGGTACGTAGGAAGGGAGGCGACGTCAGTCGGTTATTACGCAGAATTTCTATCACTCGCTAAGAGACAAACACGCGCTAAGTGTTACGGTTATCAGAATATTGTTATAATCCTAATTGTTCTATTTTCTAAAAAAAAATGTGTTAAAACGACGCACTAATCACCACAAACAGAGGAACCTAATTAGGTTGGAATTGGTTCTAAAGAGCAATAGGAGAATTTCCTTAAATTCCATAAAAATAAAAACATACCTTCGATTATTTACTTCTCGGTGCGAGGATTAACTGTGCACAACCCAAGTAGGAGGTGTAAACTGTTGTCAATAGCACCACTAAACTTTTTGGTTGTCTGGTATCGGGGAAAAAAATTACACAACCTTCGCTCTTCGATTGCCTCAAAACAGCTCAGCCGAACTCGATGCACACAATTAAATATAGCGTATCCACTAGAGGGCAGGGGAGAGACACACAAGCGTGCTTCTTCCACTTCGGAGAGAACGAAATCACCCCACTTTTTGCTGTTGCTTAAATCCGCGAAACAAATTCGTCTCCACTAGGCTGTTATGCTTAGCCCCCTCTTAGTAACACATACACCACCCGCAAGACGGCCTTTTTTCGATCAATAATTTTCCAATATTCTAGTCACACTTTTTCCACGATTTTAAACTCGCCTTATTGGCTCCCTTATTTTTCCACATGCAACAAACTTCCCAACCAACCCACTTGGGTGAAGACACAAAAAAAACTACAACCACGAGACTTGAAAGCGAAACTCCCAAACTACGACTGTTGTGACCGTGTCGGAGAGAACGACCGCACACACATTCACTGGATATAAGATTCTTCAAGTATTATTCACACACGTTATTCCTTGACGACTTTTCCTCCGTCCAGCGAAACGTGACCTGATGGTGGGCCTTCCCTTAAACTTGTCAACAGCAACTCCGCCGATCCGCTCGAAATACGCCAATCCGACCAACAGATGGACAAACAGACCTGTACTGATTGATACTCCGGTTTTGTGAACTGCGGAAACACGACAAACGCTACAGCAGATGTATGTCTATTCCTGAACTCGGTTTCTAGCACTCTGACTGAGGAACGACTGCGAACAGGCGGTAGTAGTCCTCTTTCCTGCTGAGTGAGATGATGGCGGAGAAGTAGTAGTAGTAGTAGCAGAGTAAGCAGAGAAGATGTGGAGCGACCTATCCAATCCGACCTACCAGCCAATATCAGAAATGGAACGAAAAGTCAGCTGAGAGAGAACCCCCAGAATCGAGAGAAGTGAAAACATACAGTAAATCATGGGTCGGTTGACTGTGTGTATGTATGCGGTGTTGCGCAAGGTGACAGAGCCGTCAGTTTGGCGATGACAGCTCGATTACTTGGGTGGTGTGGTGAAAAGCAACTGCACCATGGTGGATATGAGCTTTGCGGTGAGTGGTGAATTTGATCTAAGCGCGGTCTCGCTCGGATGGTGATGGTGATAATCTCGAATCGGTAAAGAAGTTACGTTGTTTGGTGTGTATAAGGAAATGATGTGGTGAGAATGAAGCTCATTGAGACAAAAGCTTTGCAGATGGTGAATAAGATTCGCGTAGTACATAAAAGCAATCTACATTTGACTAGGTGCAAGAGAGCCAGTGAAATGTATCATTCAAAAAGGTTTTTAGATTGGGTATGCTCTCCCTAATAGAAAAATACCATAAACGAACGAGAACCCAAATAATAGAACTATTCCACAAATGCTTTGGACGATACCTCGAACATGTCGTTAAGAAAAATAACAATACAAATTTTATTAGGGCTGGTACCCTTTCAAAATCATCAATCAAATCATTTCAACAAACACGAAAATTGAGTGTTGCCAAAATCGAAAGGTTTTACCACAGACAAACAGACATAACACATTGAATATTTCTCAATGTAAAACATCGTCGCAAAAACATTACCGCCATCTGTTGAGTACACTGTGGTGGGTAGTACGCTGAACAGATGACGGTACTGTGTAAACGTCAAACTCAAGGAAAAGGACTACGCGCCGCAGGTGGCGGTACTACCAACTACGATACTTTTAAATTGACCGTTAAATGCTGGTTCGATGAACAACTTGCGAGAGTTATGTCTGTTTGTCTGTGGTTTTACTATGAAATCGAATTTATCATTTGGTTGATTTTGGAGTACCGTGAGTCATCTTTATGGCATCTAGTCGTTATTAATAATCATCCTTTTATTAAAAATTGTAATCACCATCAGCAAAAATACATTACAGTCAACTCTCCGCAACTCCCAAGGGAGATGAAAGTAATCTGCTTCACATTTCATTAAACAGATTTCTATAAAATTTGTTTAAAAATTTCGAAATCTTGGATGTGGTAGAATTATTGAGCATTATGCTGATATGGTTTTTAGTGTGTTTTGTGATGTAAACTGTCACTTTCTTGAGCACCTGCTTTTGTGATAGTTGCATGTTCAAACTCTGGAAGCAACGATATTTGCCCGGAGATTTGGCAACAGAATTGATGGCCAAACGTGACCAAACCTCGACTCGATCAAACCCAAGACCAAACGATGCTGATCTTCAACGGATGCCTGAGATTGGGGAAGTATGTTGAGGTAGTGATGGAAATCAGTAATGACCTTGGAGATATCGGAGAATTCCCATGCGTGACATATGCGTTTCCGCTCTTCCTATAATGTGTGTAATGCGCTATATGTGCTATCACCTCAAAATTTCAAGAGCACAGCTGCCACAAAACATACAACAATGAAACTGGAACTTCACATTTGACGCAGCAAATAGGGAGTTCCAATTTGATGAGTGATGTCACAACTGGGTCCGAAAATTGTGCTCTAGAGCACTTGCCATCCATTTGTGAACTCTTCAAGGAATCACCATAAATGATTTTTGAACATACGATTTTCGTACAGATTTATCAACCAACTAAAGAGTGGATCAGCAAACTTGTAATGACCTTATCTTGCAAACTGAAGCACGCTTACGCAAACCAATTCCACCATCAGATAGGAGGGAATTTTCCCTATAGTCGACGGTGTTGTTGATTTGGCAAGACGAGCTTCGATTTGCGAGAAAAGATCATTACAAGATTTGATTACAAAAGCTGATCCGCCTTTTTGAATTGTATGTTGAGATTTCCGACGTTCCTTTCTTATAATAAAACGGCTGTCATCGTTACCTGTCATGATACTTATAGAGATGCGACCAGATATAAGCAAGGGGGGGAGGTGGCTGTCAAATACGAACAATCGTCGCCTACCTCGCATGCCTCGCATAACTGGTTCCAAAGGTAAACAAGCCATAAGAAACCTACAGCGATTGTTTACGTTTGGAGCCAGTTTCATACAAGAATGATCAGTAGGCTGATTTGACAGCACGTCCCTCCCCTAGGATATAAGAGATGTGACCGATAAAAATCGATATAATTTGTTTTTAGAGATTTAAGCACGATTATATTGGATCAATCCGATAAAATGGATTTCTCCGACTATAAATCAATATTTCAAACTTAAGAATATTTTTTGGATAACAATATTCACGGATTATTCAATCTACTGTTCCTATGTATCCACATTAATTCGAAAAATGGTTCAAGAATCAAGTTAATTCCAAACATTAAGCCAATATCAACATAATCAGGCACATAGGACAATTAATTCTTGACATTAAAAGGGGTTGCTTCAAGACCATTTTTAATTACTTCTCTGGCACTATATGGCACCATCACCATAGAGGTAACTCTAAGAGCAGAAGGTCCCGAAGAATCGAGCTCAACTTTTTGGCTCAGCTCTGGTACTAGTACTAGGGCACAAGTTTCTAAGAAAATTCTATTATAGCGAACCACATCATTTTAATTGATTTCTTAGCCAGTTAGTCGTCTGTCACTTCGTTTGTTTCAATTAGAAAATGAAAGTTGGTACTCGTGGAGAATAGAAGAACTATGAACTATAAAATTGTACACGGTGAGGTATACGAGTTCAATCTTAAAATGCTTATATTTTGCAAATGGAGCATGTTATTCAAATCTGGTTAATGCTACGTTAGTAGAAAACTTAAGGACTAATCAATACACATATAATATAGAAAAAAATATTTATTTTCAGATTTTTAGTTGTGTACATAGATTTCAGCTTTTCTACCACTGTAGCAGCAACCAGATTTTAAATGAAATGCTCTATTTACAAAATAAAAGCATTTTAAGAGTGCACTCGTATTTTTTTCCTTGATTTGTTTTCCGTCGATCTTGTTTTCCGTGCTGAGCACCAATGCTACCGACGCCAGGAAGGCAGCTCCCACACCTGGACCCTACCTATCGACCCATCAACTCATGAACCGGGGACCAACGGCTTTACTTCCCTTCCGAAGGAAGGCGTGATCAGAGATGTTATGACATTTGATGGCTGAGTCTCGGATAATGCTTAGATGAATCTCAGAAAACAAATAAATATAAGTGAAAGTGAAATATGAGTGAACCCTCCATTGATGGGTTGGTTGTAGACCGATCGACGACCGCATTCACGGAAGAACAATTGACACACCTCAACAAGGGGCTATTTAGGATACGCGGTTACAACCAAGCCAGACGTGGAGCAGATCATCATTGACGTAGAGACAGCGATTACCAAGACACATCCAACATCATCACAGAATACGGTCAGGACTATCCCATCGAACATAATCAAGGACGGACAGAAACAAAGTCGTGCCAACGAAAAGGAAATTCGGATTGTAAAGGAGCTGAAAAGTAAAGCAGTATACTATGTGAAAGCAGACAAGGACGACTACGACGATCAGATCAAGAGCCACATGTGAAAAGGGCTTGCAAGCTTTTTGTAAACAAACCTTTGTAGGCCCTTTTCTCGCCAACCGAGGGTCGCCCACACAAAACAACAACATCATCGTGAAGGGTAAAGTTTCCCCTATCCGGCGATGTTGATGGTTTGCGTTGGTGTCATATGGGTGGCGAGAAAAGGGCATAAGAATGTTTGTTTACAAAAAGCTTGTATGCTCTTTTCACATGTTGTTCTTGAGATGACAACGAAGATTAACAACGGACCGTATAGACAGCTTTGAGTAGACCTCTTACAGAACATAGTGAAACACGTGGAGAAAACACTGAAGGAGTGTAACTCAATATTAGGAGACGGAGCAGTTCGTTTATGGGAATCCAATCCCATTCTACCCAGGATCAAAGGCCTCCCCAAAGTCCACAAACCGGGGAATGAAATGTGAGAGATTCTGTCTGCAGTTGGTTCCCCCCACCCACAAACAAGCGAAGTGGCTAGTCACAGAGTTCCAGAGTATGCCGAATCAGTTCCAGAGTAAAGCAGTTAGTAACACCCAGGAGTTTGCCCAGCAACTACAATCTTCAGGATACATCAACGAGGACGAGATTATGGTATCTTTCGACGTCACAGCTCTTTTTTTCCCAGCGTACCGGTCAAGAAAGCGATCAACCATTTGGAGGACTGGCTATTAGCACAACGAGATGATGCAGCATGGAGAAACAAGGTTCGGACGTACCTTAAGCTGACGTGCCTTTGTATGGAAGAGAACTACTTCTCTTTCCGAGGTAGCTTCTACAAGCAGACGAAAGGAGCCCCAATAGGAAACCCCTTTCCTGTGTGAACTTTTCATGGCCAACTTGGTGATAATCCTCAAGGAGAAAGGATTATTACCAAACCGTTGGCGGAGGTTTGTCGACGATATCTTCAGCGTAGTTAAACGGGAATCCCTTCCAAGAATTTTAGATGAGATCAACAGAATTCAGAAGGATATCAAATTCACTCACGAGGTAGAAAAAGACGAGAAACTCGCATTTCTCGATATTCTAGTCATCAGAGAATCGTCATCATCTTCTTCGCTTGAATACGAAATTTACAGGAAACCAACAAGCACCAAAAGAGCTATCCCCTATGTTTCCAACCATTCGTTCGAGCAGGAAATGGCCGTAGTTAAAACAATTCGGATTAGATTTAGTTTTCATCAGTAGACATAACCAGTTGAAATCATTGTTAGGATCGACTGAAGACCCAGTAAATGTTTTAGGTAAAGCAGGTGTATAT